GTCCCGATTGCCAGTTGGCTGGAGTAGCGGTGTATCGCCCTCCAAGGGACTGCGACGGACTTGTCTTCAAAACAAAGAGGTATCCGCTGTTTGTTGGGGTGACGGCGTTTTTCGCCTGGTTCCCCAACTTGCAGCGTTTCTTTTTCTTATCACTGTTGTAGTATGTGAATTTGTTGGTGAAGGCAGCGTTTTTTTGCCCCCGCTCCCAACTTATTCAGCTGGTGTTTTGATTAGTTGAGCTAACGGTGTTAGCCTTCTTAAGTTACTGTGTGAATTTGTTGGTGAAGGCAGCGTTTTCGCCCCAGCTCCTAACTTATTCAGCTTTTGTTTTGCTAACGGGGTTAGCCTTTCTAAGATGATGCGTATTTGTTGGTGACGGCAGCGTTCTCGTCCCCTGTCCCAACTTATTCATCTTGAGTTTGATTAGTTGAGCTAACGGTGTTAGCCTTCTTAATTTATTGTGTGAATTTGTTGGTGAAGGCAGCGTTTTCGCCCCCGCTCCTAAATTATTCAGCTTGTGTTTGATTAATTAAGCTAACGGTGTTAGCCTTCTTAATTTATTGTGTGACTTTGTTGGTGAAGGCAGCGTTTTCGCCCCCGCTCCTAACTTATTCAGCTTGTGTTTGATTAATTAAGCTAACGGTGTTAGCCTTCTTAAGTTATTGTGTGAATTTGTTGGTGAAGGCAGCATTTTTGCCCCCACTCCTAACTTATTCAGCTTGTGTTTTGATTAATTAAGCTAACGGTGTTAGCCTTCTTAAGTTATTGTGTGAATTTGTTGGGGAAGGCAGCGTTTTCGCCCCCGCTCCCAACTTGTTCAGCCTCAGTTCTTGTTACTTGAGCTAACGGGGTTAGCCTTTTGAGTTTGTGTGTAAATTGGTTGGTGACGGCAACGTTTTCGTCCCCTCTCCCAACTTATTCAGTCTCGAGGCTTGTTATTGAGCTAACGGTGTTAGCCTTTCTTTCTTTATTTTGTGAGCATGGACGGCTCCCACTGTTGTGCAAGTTGTGGAGCTGGGCTTGAGGTGGAGGATCTGTGTCCTGCCTGCCTCGGACAAGACCACCTGGTGGAGGCCCTGTCCGAGAACCCTTGCATGAATTGCAGTTATATGCCCCGRGCAGTGAGAGTGGCTCGGTTGGCCCAATTGGACCCCGAGCATGATGCTAGTCTTCCCCCTTCTGGTCAGGTGGCCGCGCCTAGGCGCTCTAAGCGCAGGACTGCCACAGTCACTGTCGCCCCTTCTAAAAAGAGGCGGGTCAAACCTGATCAGGGCCTTTCCAGGCAGGTTGCACAGCTGTCTGCAGAGTTGGCAGAAATMAAATCTTTTTTTCAGACACGCCAGCTGGGTGGACCAGCAGGGTCCCCAACCATGCCTGAGTTGACCAGGGAGGAGGACGTGCTGTCTTTGGC